GCATTCTGCTTCCACCCACTGCTTCTCATTGTCAAACACAGCGTGGATGTGGGAGCATGGACAATGAGGGCTCTGGGGGACACTATTCCCTGGGGTCTCACAGAAAGCTGCACAGCAAGGTGAGTGAATCTGGGTCTGCTACACCCCAGCAGGGCAACTTGATGCCTATAACTTAACCACTGGGGCAAGAGTATTAACATATCTTCCCAGGTGATTCCAATGTAGAGCCAAATTTAAAAAATACTATCTTAGACCTTATCGGCCACAGCCTGACATGCCACTCGGTCCCCAGTCTCCTGTCGCTGCCTCTCCCAGGCATGGCATAGGGCCTTGCCTCACTATGGCAGCAGCATGGCACAGCAGGCTTGATTTCATGCTCAGTGCCAAAGCTGATGGTGAGACCATTTTAAAAGGCCTGCAGTCCATTTTCCGGGGGCAGGGCATGGCAGAGTCGGTGCATACCTGGCAGGATCATGGCTACCTAGCAACCTACACAAACAAAAATGGCAGCTTCACCAATTTGAGAATTTATCCACATGGATTGGTATTGCTGGACCTTCAGAGTTACGGCAGTGGTATCCAGGGCAAAAAAGAAATCGATAACCTTTTGAACAAAGTAGAAGAGAGAATGAAAGAATCAGGCCAGTATCGGGCAGGTGAAGTGTTTACCAACCATAGTTCAAGGAGGGGCCATCGGCAAATACTGGCCCACTGCTGATGGGCGCCTGGTTGAGTATGACATAGATGAAGTAGTAGGTGATGGAGATTCACCTTACCAGAACATTAAAATTCTACACTCAAAGCAGTTTGGAAATATTCTCATCCTTAGTGGGGATGTTAATTTGGCAGAGAGTGACTTGGCATATACCTGGGCCATCATGGACAGTGGCAAAGAAGATTACACTGGCAAAGACCTACTGATTCTGGGAGGCGGAGATGGAGGCATATCATGTGAAATAGTCAAACTGAAACCAAAGATGGCTGCTATGCTAGAGACTGACCAAATGGTGGTTGACGCATGTAAGAAATATATGCGCAAAACATGTAGTGACGTCTTAGGCAATCTTAAAGGAGACTGCTCTCAGGTTCTAATAGAAGACTGTCTTCCTGTACTGAAGAGGTATGCCAAGAAGGGAGAGAGTTTGATTATGTGATTAATGATTTGACAGCTGTTCCAATCTCCACATCTCCAGAAGAAGATTCCACATGGGAGTTTCTCAGACTGATTCTTGACCTCTCCATGAAAGTATTGAAACAGGATGGGAAGTATTTTACACAGGGAAACTGTGTCAGTTTGACAGAAGCCCTGTCGCTCTATGAAGAACAGCTTGGGTGCCTGTACTGTCCTGTGGAATTCTCGAAGGACATCATGTGTCCCTTCATACTTGGAATTGTGGGTGTTTTAAACTGTTTGGAAGAAAGCTAAGCCCTGAAGATGGATATTCCAGTGATGTGTGCTGTAGACAGCCATCCTGACCTCCATATGCTGTACACGCCATCAAAATGAGTCAGGCAATTGGTTGTGACTTCCCTAAAGTTTTCTCTTTTTAATTATTATTTTTAATTTAAAAAAGCAAATGGAAAATGTATATTTTGATGAGCTACAATGTTATTTTTTTTGAAAGTTAGTTGAAGGACAATTAGACAGCACAGCAAAGACTGCTAAATGCACTGACCCCCTAGAAGGTGATTTTTGTTACTTTTTCTGCCTGGGTTTTTTGTTTTGTTTGTTTTGATTTTGGCAGAATTTAAATTTGGACCTTTGGAGGAATGAGCATCATTGTTTTTGTTTCAGAGGGAAGTTCTTGATGTTTTTTAAAAAATTGACTTAGATTTTAAAATTTGGTGCTTTTAAGAAAGTTAAAAATGAATAGCAATGCTTCAATTAAAGTTACAAAAGAGATGAAAAAAAAAAGAAATACTATCTTAGAGTAAGTTCCTTACTGCCTTGGAGTCTCAGCTTTATCATCTTTAAAGTAGGAAAATCACATGTACTTCCTATGGTGGAGCCAATGGATGAAATGAGGTAGATGTTCAGGGCTTACGTGCTTAGCATATTATTTGGCACACAGCAAGAGCTCCTCAAATATAAGCCTCTAATACTGCCTCCACCACCAACATTGTCATCACCATCAGTGATGTCATCATCCTTGTCATCAGATAAATAGCAACATCTTCATTGCTGTGAGTATCTTTGCCACCATCATCCTCACTGCTGTCTTTGCCATGATTATCACCATAGTTACCATCACCACACCATCTGTCCATCCACTGTTATCATCATCTGTCTCTACAGCAGGTGGCAAGTCCCTTTACAAAGCCCCTCAAGTGCTTGGTCCTCAACACGATCATTTTGAATTCTTGGTTTTGTTTCTAGTCAATTGGGAAAAGAGAGGTGCTGCAAACCTGTAAAATTTCCCTATGGGCTGGAAATTTTAATTTCATCCAGTTCAGGTCAAAAATGTGTGAATTAAACCTTTGCAGAACATTCTGCCTTCTTGGAAAATGTGCTGCTAATGCTGGTCCTATCTGTGTGCACAGTGCTCCTGGCTGCTCCTGGTTTGGCCTCCCCTGGACCTGAACACCTGAGAGGAAGGGGCTCCGACCACCTGCTCACAGGTGTGGTCTAAAAGGTGAAGCAGCCTCAGAATGCCTGTGACTCCGCCAGCCATTCAGAGGGTCCCCATAGGGCAGGCCACTCCCTAGCCCAGGTTCTCAGCTTCGGATGGATGAATTTCTTTCTGCATTTGGTGTGGAAGGTGGTAAGTATTTTCTGAGATATTTTCCAGTCGCAAGCTTCAGTCTGCTGAGATGAAATATGCAGATTGAGGCCTGAACAGCTGTAGCACTGCAGAGTGGCTGGTATTTTGGTGGGCTTTATTTTAAAGTCGCTGACAGTTCAATCTCACTAAATAATTCAGCTGTTTAGGAAAAGCTATATAATCTTAAAATAAATCCCTGAAGGTCAAGAATATAGGTTGAAATTTTATTTTTTGGTGCATCGCATTTGACAAAATAACAGAAATGTCCCTTACAATATCTTTTCCTTTACATCTTTGAATGAAATTACCAAGTGCACATCATTGGATGTTCATTTATAAACACTCTACACCGTCTCCACACATTTCTGGCAAAGTATTAAGCTAACATTCTGATTTTCCTGTTCCCAATGAAGTTAGAGATTCTAAAGAACAATCTTAGACAGCAGCTGTAACTTGAGATGTCACTGATCATTTACAAAGTCTTTTGTTACGTCTAGCCCAGGAAAATACAAGCCTCATGTCATGGAAAAGATAAAGCACTGACTTGATAGATCTGTAAAGAAAAAGGAAAAGAAGAAATCGTGCAACATAAGGGTCTTCTGGGATGCAGCCAGATCTTTCTTCTCATCCATAATTGGTCTCCCCAAGGTAACTTGTAGGAGAGAAGCACTAACATCCGGAAAGATGCGGCCAAGGATTTCTTTGTGCCTCTGAAGCTGGGTCTTTGGGCTGAGTTACAAGACTGGCAGCTCCAGAACAGCGCACAGGGATGGGAGGAGGACGTGAAGGTAAAGCCTGTCTATGTTCACACAGAATCCCGGACCTGAGGCTGATGGGGAATATGGACCCGTACTTCAAATACTCTCATGTCTCACTTTGCGGATAAGGAAAGTAGGGCCAGGCAGAATAAATAACGCACGCCCATTAATATAATTGGTAACAAAGCCAGATCTTAGACACACGTGACACTGGGACGTGGGGCTGTTACGTCAGAGCGGGCCTGTGTCCCTCCAACTTGGCTGACAAGCACACGTGCAGCCATTCTGCTTGTGCACAGCGAGACTTGGCATTTTCACTGTGATGTGACCTCCAGTCTTTACTGTGTGACCTTGGCCAAAACCAACCAAGCCTTCTCTCCAGCCTCCTTAAATGTGAAGCCCCACTACTAACCCCTGCTGCACAGGGTTGCGCTGTCAGTGAAATTCTACATTTAAAAAAGCCTTGGAGACACTAGCTCTCAGCAAAGACCCATTCATAAATTTATCCTTTTGGATCCCCTGCATTATCTCCGCTGGGATGAGATGTGGGTTCATCTGCGAGGAACCTGGATTTTGCAGAGATGAATCATCACACAATTCACTCCTACTGCTCCTGCAGGTCTCCCACGCTGTTTCCGTTTTGGTTCAGGCAAATGCTGGCATTTAACCCTCAGGATGCTCAGCAACACCCTGGTGACTGCTGTGACAGCCACCAGCCACATCGGGAAACCCGGCACAGAGCTTAGTGCCTCCTATAGTGGCGGCCCAACTCTAGAGAACAGCATGCAAAATCTTACAGAGAAACTGCACTCATTGATCATGAAAGTTATTCATGTTCTTAAGATTTAGAAAAATTTCAATGACCAAAAAGGAGGAAATAAAAATCATCCATAATTCTACTTCTCAGTGAAAGTAATTATAAATATTTAGTATTAATATGAATTTTATATAGATGCAACAAAATGGGTCTTGATGTTCTTTGGCATTTTTTTTGCCAGTTGTAAATATTTTGTTTTTTTCAAGTAACTGAACAGTTATCATTTTAATGGACACATAAGGTATGATCAAAAATACAGTGTTTAAATTTTTTTAAATGTTGTTACAATAAAAGGTACACTGCTTTTAATTTCCCTCAAAATACTCCCCTGCTCACGCCAGACACTTATGCTACCATTCTTGCCACTTTCTGAAGCAGTTCTGGAAGTCCTTTTTCATGAGTGTCATTAGTTGCGCTGTCGTGGCTGGCTCGATGTCCTGAATCCATTCATAATGTTTATCTTTCCTGGTCATTTTCACTTTGGAGAAGAGCCAGAAATTGCTCAGTGCCAGATCTGGTGTAAGGGGTGAATGAGGACACACTAGTGTTTTACCAGCCTGCCCTGCCCTTCCATTGGCTGGCACACAGCAGTGGCATCAGACCTCATAAAGATACTCACAGGTCACAGTCAGGACACACACAATGCCTGATCACAAACCTGGGCACCATCCAAGCCACCCTCTTCCTGGTTAACAAGTGACTGTGGTTTCTCTGTCGATGACAGCTGTAACCTTGCTCCTGCCTGTCCCACCTAGAGACAAGCTGCAGGAAGACACCTTGTCTTGGATTCACCCTGGCTCCCCAGTAGCATCTATCTCACTGCCTGACTCCACATTTGTGAACCTCCCTCAAAGCAGAGAACGGGAGGTCCAGCTTTATGTTTTTCTACCATGTCTTGCAGTTTGCTGTGGTTTGTTCTGGGGGAAAAACAGGTGGGTTTCTGCAGGTCTCTAGCTGAAGGGCTTGGACAGCATATTACACAGTAATAAATAGCAGCCTCTCTCTCCTAAGTAATGGCCATGTGCCCAACACCGTTCCTTCCTGTCCAACAGGTATCATGGATATTGTCCTGATTTTAAAGAGGCAGAGACTAAGGCTCAGCTCCACTAACTAACTTCTCAAGGTCAATAGCCGCTGGGGAGAAGCTATGGTGGGGACGCACACATTGTTGACTGTGAATCTTGCATATTTTCTATTATTGCAGTGTTTCTTTTTTCCCCTCCTTTAGAAACTGTGTCAGTTACTCTGAGCTAGCAATGAGCATGCATATGATAAATGTGCTCCCTCTAATAATTCCTCTATTGGAAATGATGAACATTCCCAATAGTTATTCTAGGCTTTCAACCCACAGTGAATATTTGCAGTTTGGATTGCTGCTCTGTCTTTCAATGTCACTGCTGCATGGAGTTTCTGGCATAATCTCAAACATACAGAAATGTGTAGGAAATATTTACAGGCAACCACTCTGTCTTTGTGGGGAGTACAACTGTGGAATGGAGAAAATATTTAGAAATATGGATTTGTGGGGAAGAAAGTGCTCTGCCTGGGTTTCAGTGGAGGAGTTGATTAGCAGTCAGTGTTTTGGTTTATAGCTTTGTTGTTTTCAGATGATGTCACCTCTCTCTTATGTTTAAAACTGGACTGAATGAATCTGGATTTAACAGACCAGGGACGAAGACTCCAGGTTGGTGGCAGAGGAATAAACACATGGGTGACTGTGGAGAGCCAGCTGTGACCCAGCCCTGCGTGGGTGCCTTCACTGGGCTATCTCAGTTGTGTGCATTGCAGGGCCTCCGATGCTTCAGTGGCCCACAGGGAGAGAAGTCAGCACAGAAGAGCTGGTGTTTCAGCTGCAGGCAGCGATGTGAGCTTCAGTTCCCCTCTGTCCTGGGATCTGAGCTCTCTAGGATGATGGGGCAAGGGGAAGCCAGAGACCAAATAGCTCATCTCATAGTGATCTACCTGTAGGAATGGAGGGCCTTGGGCTTCAGAATCTGCTGCCTACTGGGGGATAGGAGTTTTGAGCAGGACAGGGGCCTGGTCAGGTTTCTGTTCTAGAGATCACCTTAGCTACTGAGGGGGTGGAATGGGTGGGGCGGGAGGCTGCAGGGAGACTGGCCAGGGTGGGAAGGTGCCACAGTGAGGCAGGAAGCTGCACACAGTGCTGATGGAGGGTGAGGGGATGGAGCAGACGAAGAGATGTTGAGAAGGCAGAAGCCTGAGGCCTTGGAGGGAAGGCATGCATTAATATAGAACAAACACCCTTGCTTTTCCTCCTAACTGAATTCCATATTAGTTCACCCCTTGAACGACCCCTGAAAGATCAGAGGACATTGCATCAAGTGGGCCTGGCTTAGTGGGGAGAAGAGCAGCCGGGGAAGTTCTTTTTTCATGGCTTTAATAAAACGTGTACAGGCTAAGCTTATTCTCTGTTCTAAACACTTTCTAGATACTAATTAATTTATATTAATTACATGCCTATGAGGTAGGATTAGGATTACCTTATGGAACAGGGGACAGAGCAGAGGCACAGCAGGATCCAATCACCTCTCCAAGGTCACAGGGCTAACATGTGAGGATCGGCTCCTGCAGCCTGCTTCTGACAATCTTGCAGCACAGCCTCTTCCAGGAGGCAGATGTCAAGACCAAGTTTATGAACTCCCGCCTCTTTGTGAGAAAAAACAGTGCCCACTACTCCCTAAGGACAGCCAAGGTCAAGTTAGTTATGTTGTTTTGACTGTGATTTAATTTGGCACAAGCACCATGACCGGGAAACAGTTCCATCATCCTATCCCAGTCTCTTATATGGAAGAAAAAACTCGTGGTGATTTTCTGATGGAGGCTCTGATGGAGTTTTAAATGTGATTATTTTAGGCCTGTTTATCCATACAGAGCCCTACCAATGGCACATGATGATTTATCTCTATGGATTAAATGTCACAATTGAGGAGCTGTGGTCTAAATCATACATTCACCGCAGACCTTGAAAACCTCTGGAAGGTCTCCTAGCCGCACACACCAAAGTCAACAGAAGTTTGACAACTTTTCTTTCTATTATCAGGCATCAAACTTACATGTGGAATACATCACTCAGTGTACCACAGGTTGATAGGCATTTAATGCTCCAAGTCCTTTCAGGGGGATGAACCTCTATCAGGCCAAGGAAGTCTAAGAGACTCACCTCCAACAGATACCACACACTGCCCTGGAAAAGGCAGGAGGGTGTCCAAGGCCAAGAACACCCCCTAGACTCAGGCACATTGCAATTTATTGTCTGGCCCATTTTTTAAAGAGACAGCTCCTGAGAACAAACAGGACACATTGTAAATTCCAATAACAGACACATATGCAGTGAAATCTCTCCAAGAAATCACCAGTGAGACAGAATTTTAGATAATTTCTGCTACATTCTTCTTTATGGTTTTTATTTGGCAAATACTGGGACTTGTGGTGGGGCTGCCCTGTACACTGTGGGTTGTTGAGTAGCATCCCTAGCCTCTGCCCATTAAATGCCTGGGTCACAACAGACGAATGTCTCCTGGGGGAAGCAGGGGAAACGTCATGCCCAGATGATCACCTGAGTTCTCCAGCACTGGGGATCTCTGCTTCAGACTATTGCTATTCGACGAGACTGGTGACAAAAACCCTTTCCAGTAAAGGGTTATTCCTGGGGCCCATGAGACCACAAACCATTCGCTTAATGAGGGCCCATTATGTGCCTGATGAGGGCCAAGGCAGGGGGGAAAAAGGACAGGACAAAATATGGCAAATATGGGGTCAAAGGAAAAGGTTAATGAATGGCAGGAAGGTTGGTCTGATTATCTTGCCAGCTCTTTTTATAGATAAGATTTATGGCTATTTAAGTGGCAAGAATGATAACAAAATACTGATCACTTCACACTATTAACAGATGTAGTTTGAGATCCCTTCATCAGATGCCAGCCAATTGCTCCAATACACTTCACCCTGTACACACGCACGCACGCATGGACACACACATGTATTTTATATGTATACACAGACACAGACACATGTACAAATGTGAATACATTCGTCCTTCTCAACAGCCAGTGCAGCTGTGACAGAAAGCCCTGAACAGAGCAGAGGAGTTTGTTTTTCTCTCAAGCACAATCTGAGACTGGGGACCCAAGCTGGTGTGGGACCCTTGACACAGGAAGCACTTGGGTCTTTCCTCCTCTTGCTCTGCTGGTCAGGGCCACCACTACCTTCCTGCATGGCCACATTTCACCTCGAAGGAAGGAAAAAGGGATCAAGAGACAATGGCCAGCAGTGCATTAAGAAGGGTCCCTGGAGGAAGCCACAGGGCCCACTGGCCCACACTTGGTCATGTGACTCCATCTGGCTGCAAAGGAGGCTGGGAAATAGAGTCCTGTGTGCATCTGTTACCATGGGGGAAAGGGGAGTAGAGAGGAGCAGGCTGGAGGCCAGGCAGCAATGTCAACCTGTCACCACTGGCATTTTTCATTTTCCCCATTTTCTCTTCTCCATTGACATATCAGCTACATTCGAATTTTGAGTCATTATTATAATACCACATCTTTAGAACAGTATTGCCACCAAAGACTTAGGGGCACTGGTGTGCTTACAGGTAAACTCAGCACTGTGTCTGGTGCACACTAAGCTCTTAACAGATATAAACTCAATTCCCCAAATTTTAAACAAAATGGCATACTTTGTACCTCATCTGTTTCCCATATAGTCCCTGAGTGACTCTTATGCACAAGGAAGGGCTAGCATTACCTTGACTAGTGATGGAATGGTGGGAAAAACAGACAAAATTCCTACCTTTACACATCAGAGTGTGCAGTGTGGTGGGGAAGACAGACACCGACCAGCAAAGGTATAAAGTGGGAGGACAACTGTGGGAAATGTGGAGTGGGAGCGTCAGAGGGTTTGATTTCACAAGGAAATGGCAAAGGCTGATCAGAGGATGGGAGGCTGGGCTAAATCTGCAGGCTGAGAGTCATCTGGATGTGGGTGTGAGGTGCACAGACCATCATGCTGGGCAGAGGGAACAGTACAAAGACCCCTGTGTGGTTAGGGTGGTGTGGCATGTCCAAGGAAGACCAGAATGGAGCACAGTGAGCGTGGGTGAGTAGGAGGTGTGGAATGGGAGAGGAGCAGGGGCTGGACCATGTTACAGTGGGACACTGGTTTGTATTCCAGAAGCAATGGAGAGCCCCAGGAGGCTTCCAAGGGAGAGACACAGTGCCAGCGTTTGGAAAAAAGATCATTCTTCTTGTGCACGCAAGGTACGTGGATGGGGTTAGTGGCGGTGGATGCGCCAGATATAAGTAGTGTGGCAGGACAAGAGAGCAACGAGAGCATCTCCTTGGCTGGAGTCATAGCTGCAGCAGAGGACACAGAGAGGAGGGGAGACACCAACAGGGCAGCGACCGAGGTAGGCTAGGTGCTGGGGAAGGTGCCTGGCCCATGATTGCTGACGGCTTCCTCGCTCCCACATGCTGAATGGACCCTGGGGCTTTTAACCAAGTGGGAGCTGAAGGGTGTGGAGGAAGGATTCGAGGTTAGACTTTGAGTCTATGGCCTTGAATATTTTGATTTTTCAATGATTCCTGAGGATCCCACCATCCTACATCTCCGTCACACAAGTGGGAAGAAGATTTGGAGCCAAGGTCACAAGCTCGCCAACAACACGGCTGGGCCTTGATCCCATGCCTTCTTTTCCCAGTTCCAATGGTCTTTCCATAATGTAACACAGACTGACCCCAAGAGGACCCAACTTGAACTTGGGGCAGAGTGAGTTTAGTTACTGGAGGTCCTCATTAACGGGGGCTGAGAGGTGGGACCTCAGCTTCTCACACAGAGCCTGGACTGTTACCCAGGCCCCTCTGAACTGCTCTGGACGATTTATTCTGCACTGGACCACTGTGACCTGGACTGCACTTCTGGGAAACCTCTTACCTCGAGAAAGAAAGAAAGAAAGAAAAAAGCCTGTCAGATCATGCTCTGAATAATAACCTTGTTGGAAAAAAAGACAAATATGCAATAGGAAAAAGACTGATTCCCCCCATGCCAAAAAATAAAAATACTTTTCAATGAGGACTAAGTGTAATTCATACTTCTAGATTGAGTGTGTTTTGCACTGAGAAAAAATCACTACACACTATTAACCAATACCATGATGCCAAGCAATAAAGGCATTTAGGCACTCTTGCTGGCCCGCGTGCTTCTGGCCTAAACAAGCGTAACGTGACATGACAGGAGCTAGTGGCACATTCCAGGAGCCTAGATCAACCTGTGTTTTCCACATTAGTCATCAGGTCTCCACTGCTGGGCTCAGGGGGTCTCCTCCTCCAGCCAGGCTAATGAAACTCCTGGCGGCAAAGATTTATAGGGGAAAGCACACCTGATGCCCAAGCTAACGAAAATGGAAGTGAAGAACTTCAATGACATTAGAAGGCACACGAGGAAACAATGCATGATTCTACTGATGCAGATCCCTGCGCTTTGCCCTGGGCCACGTGTTTCCAGGATAATGAATCAGCACTTCTGTCCATAGAGATGCTGAGGTAGAGACCACAAGGCTGAGCTTTGCTTTGTGTTTTCTTTCCGCTTAGTCACAGTACCCACTCAAGAGACCCTAAAGAGAAAGTAGGAACCAGACGTGGTTGTGTTGCCTATAATCCCTGACACCTGGCTCATGCAGCTCTGCCTTCTAGAATTTTCTTGAAGGCTTTCAGGGCAGCTCCTGGCATTTCACTGGGCCTCAGTCTACTCACTCTCTCTCCACCCCCAGGGAGAGTGACACATGGGGCCTCCTGGACTTCAGGCTAACCCTTTCCTTGAGCCCACCCCTCCCCATTCTATTTGCAGCAGCTCTGGTCAGGAAGGAGGATCCCTGTACCCCATTCTCCAGCCTCAAAGACTGTTGCAAGCATGTAGAGGTGGCATCAATGTCCACTCAGCCATTTGGCCATTTGCTTGCCACTCCCCTTGGAGCACATTTCTGACCTTACCTCAGCTACAGTTTCCTCATCTATAAGGGCATCATTTGGGGAGGTCCTAGCATTAGCTAGCTGCTCCTTGGCATTCTGGGGGCTAGGGCGGGGATAGAGTATGTGCTTTGAGGCCACAGTCATGATGGAGTGGGGGAAATGATGGGCAGTCTAACTGAGGACAGGAAATGCTTCCATTCGCTAAAAGACATTGAGTTGTTTGGCAGGAACTTAGGCTTTTCATTTTTATTTATTTTTTCTTTTCTTTCAGGTACTCTTCAAATGCAGCGAGAGAGAGAGAGAGAGAGAGAGAGAGAGAGAGAGGCTGTATGTGTGTATGAGACAGTGTGTCAGTGTTTGTATGAGGGTGTGTGTGCGTTTTCCCATGTCTTTAGTGTAGAGTTCATGGTCCACGTAGTGCGTAGTGACTCTGATCACAGGAAAACTCTGGGCCTAGCAACAGGACTACACTAAGGAGCACAATTCAGAGGGTAGGTTATGGCCTCTGCTGCAGGACTGGTCACCAGAGGAGAGGGTTTTGGCAGGCTCCTGTGCCTCACAGAGACCTCACGTTATGTCTGATCCCGGCCCAGGAGGAGTCAGAGACCTGCCCTGGGCCAACGGTGGGCAGTGGCCTCTCCACCCACACTTGGGATGCCAGCTGCAAGACACAGCACACAGGGCCCTTGCAGGAAAGCTACAGATCATTTGGCTCCAGCCTCTGGAGAGCACAGGAAGTCCTAACTTGCCCTGGACCATAGCTTCTCCTACCACCAAATGCACACATTCAACACCCTCTTCCACATGTTGAGTTTCCTTCCCACTTTTTTCCTTCTGCCACTTGGCTTGTCACTAAGCCAAGCAGAGAAGACATTTGCTCCCAGGAAACATGTTGAGAACAGATTTCTGTGTCCCTTAACTGCAAAAGAGATGGCAGAAAAAAACCCCCTAGAACTGGTTATTAAAGAAAAACGCAATGGATTGGTCCAGAGCTATGGTTATTTTAGCAAATTAAGCAAAAATAGTAGCTGAATGCACTGGAAGATGGAGAGATCTGAAACAAGTGCCTTAACCTGAAAAACCACAAATCAATGCACTGAAAGGATTCTCCTAGACAAAAACAAATGAGCATGTTCAGCTTATTCCACAACAAACAAAGGCAAAGAGAGAACGGCCACCATACAGAGAATCTCAGCTACCACCTTGTCTCACAGACTGATTTCTAATATGTCTACCTACTTCTCATTTATTTAGCAAATATTTTTAGGCATCTCTCATAGCTTCTATATGCTGAAGACCAAAAGTTCCCATTTTCTGATCTAGTAATTACTGTGTGGCTTATTCAGGGAATTACTTAGCAAAGCCCTGCAAAGCATGAAATGTTAGTCTCACCTCTACTTCACGTCACTTTTTCACAAGCAGATTTCTGTTCTCTAACTTGAAAACATCATAAGAGTCTTGCTAATGATAAAATAGACACATTCAATACCAACCAGAAAAATCTTATAGTAAAAACTAAACTATAATCACGAAGTTCAAACTAATAGGAACTTAAAGCAGATGTCCCACGTTTTTAAAAATAAAAGTGAATTCTCCAGTTAACTGTCTTTTACCTGGTGCTGTTCAGTCACCGAACAGTCATTGAATTCTAGTCACTGAATTTCTTGGGTTCCTGGAAAGGTCACATCAAGCCCAATAATGAACCCCCCCCCCCCAGGAAAATACGTCGGGATGTACTTCGGCCCCTACTAACATTGTCATACCTCCATCACCACTCACAAGGGAGTGATGCAGCACTGCGGAAGCCATCTGTCACTGGCCCTAGGGAGCATCGTCCTGGTTGGCCCTGAGAGGAGCTGCAGAAGTGTAATTGTGAATGCTTTTAGAGGAACAGAGGTTCAACTGCTGATCTCCACATGCTGGGAAAGAGGATGTGGCAACCATGGACACAGAGGCACACAGTAGCAGGCAGGCCCAGTGGGGTGGAGCTCTGAAGGGCTGAGGGTCCCCGAATGTCTCCTTTGTGACTAAGGTGCTGGCATTCCACGAGTTTCTATGGCTTCTATACCAAATCACCACAAGCAGAATGGCTTAAAACAACTCAGATTTATTATTCTGCAGTTCCCGTGATGAGACATCTGAGTCACGGAGTCAGTGGGCTGATCCAGCTGGAAGCACTGGAGAGAATCCTTGCCTGTTTTATCCAGCGTCTTGAGGTTATGTATATCCTTGGTCCATGGTTGCATCACTCTGTCCTCTCTTTCCATCATCACATCACTATTTCTAACTCTGATCCCCCATCCTTCTTGGAAGGAAATTTGCCATCCTCTTGGGTCCATTTGGATAATCCAGAACAAGTCTTCATGTCAACACCCTCACCTTAATTGCATCTGGAAGGTCTCCTTGGTCACTGAGAAACATATTTACAGATTCTGGGGACTAGGACAAATGCACTACGCTTACTACCCACTTTAAGAACAAGAGTGGAGGACAAAGATGGGTTGCGGTAATAAGAACCTTGGGTTTGACAGAATAAGGGGAGGAACTCCTGGGCACTAAGGACAGGGGAAAATGAAGATGGGTCTTGATTCTAGAATGTGCTGGGCCAAGGATGGAGAACTGGCAGCAGGTGTGTGTGTGTGTGTGTGTGTGTGTGTGTAATATTGTGTGTGTGTGACGTTGGTAAGGGGAATGCTGGGTCCAAGAGGGAGGAAGGGGAGAAGAGGGTTGCAGTCTAGGAGAAGAATCAGGCTGGAAGATGTTGGAGTTAGAGAAGTTGGGATATGGGTGAGGTCTAGGGTGCCATGATATGAATTGCCTGCTCAGGTGAAGGGTATAAACATCACTGGAATGATGCAAGTCAGGAAGCTGGGCCTTCAGATCAGATGTAGACATCATGCAGACGCTGGAAGGAGAAAGGGTGCATAGGGAAACTGCACTTGGACCCAGAGCTCTGGAATCTCCATAAACGTGGGGAAGAGACCCAGAGGCTGGTAGGAGGGAAGATAGTGTGATCAGGTGGCCTGAGATCCAGAGAAGGAGCTGAGAAAAGAGGGTGACAGGAGAGATGTCTTCCAAGGAATCCTCAAGGGTGTTGGGCTCACTGCTTAGCTTTCAAATTCTGGGGGTGAGAGGATCAGGGGAAATCAAACACCACTCAGAAAGAAAAGCAAAAGATGATCTCTGCTGTTTGCACCATGTGCCTTCCGGTATGCTTTACTACAAGCATACAGTTTATTTATAGGCTCTCCAGTAGGATGTAAGCTCAGAGCTGCACCTGCAGTGCCTGGGACAGGACTAGGCATGTCTTAGGTCCTTTGTAAATAACTGATGAATGAATTGATGGGAAGAAGGAAAAGGAAAAGGGGGAAGAAAGAGAGAAGGAATGAAGAAAAATTGAAAGGAGAAAGAAAGGTAGCCTTATTCGTACGCTACAGGTTAGCTGGGGAAGGCCTACATTTCTCTACAGGTGAGGAGGAAACATGTGTCATAGGACATGATTGAGGATGTGGGGAACTTTGGAATAAGGCAAATGTCCCAAAGGTAATAGCAGAAGGGAGGGAAAAGGAGAGGAATTAGCAGGAGACAGGCATTTTGGGGGAGCAGATTTGCTAAACGGAGTTACTTTGGGGTATGATCCAAGTGGGGTTTTTGTAACCTGCCCTCTTCTCTGTGAGGCTCCCAAGTGCAGGGAACATGTTCCAGTCACACATTGGCACCTGGCAGAGAGCAAGCACTCAGCAGGAGAGGGGCTGGGACCAAAGGAAGCTCGCCAACACTGTCCATCGCCACACCTGAAATTTCTCTTCATGGTAGCTTCAAGCAACAGCCATGTGACCATTATTCAGGGAAATCCTATGGTGGCTGAAACTCATATTAGGTGACATCCTGGTGTCTTTTCATTCTTAAGTCTTCAAATGGTCAAAGGGACAAGTCACTTCCCTATCTCTCACTTTACACTGTAGATGCTGCACTCGTTTTAATGACAGTGGAGCAGAATGACATTTTGCAGACTTCACCCACAGCTGGGAACTCCATGGGTGAACAGGGGGATCACAGCTCTGACCTGACCCA